TGCTGAGCCCTTTTTATTTTTACTCTAACTTGTCCTATCTCTAAACCACAGAGATACCTCAGAGGTTCATTAGAAATTCCCAAATCTAGAAAGAGGGAGGTCCCAATAAAAACAAACGAACCAAACCAGATCCTTTAGGAGTTGAATGTTGAAGCTTTCACTTCCTGATTCTAAGGAAGGATCATAATTTAGCTGCAGAACAATGGCAAATGTAGATTTTAAAACACCATAGTTAAAATAAAGAACCCCTTCCATGTCTGTCACTAGATCTGGCACACACATGTGTGAAGTGCAATTCTAACATGAATTGTGAATAATGCTATTCCAATCCCTAACCTGATCCCTTCACAAGGAGACGTTTTCTAGCTAAGATTTTTGCTTCTCCTTTGTAATTTGTTTTTCTATTATTTCATGAATGTAGTCAATGACTCAGGTTACAATGTGCAAAAATCTTGCTTCTGTACTTCAAATAGATGAAGAAACGATCTTTTAGATGTTCTTCTCTGCTTCTCGCCCGAAGTACCACTCTTACAGTTAAGAATTGAGCCAACCTGAAAAGCACTTTTATATCAGCTTTTATAAAACATATATTACTAGATTACACAGGGTTAAAGTATCTGTGTACTTCTATGTCATGACCAAAGAAAAACTTGAAAGAAGAATGGATTGAAAGCATCATGCAATTCCACTGTCACAATTAAGAATTTCCTTAGTACTGGCTGTGCTTGGAAGTTTTCAGTAGTACTGTGTAAGTCCAGAGAAGCTTCACGGAGGATGGTCAGCTGTGTAATACGTGAACCATCTTCTTCTTAGTCTTAACTATTTTTCTCCTGTGTTTGTAATCTTTTTAGAAATATTTCAGTTAAAATATGATCAATATCACTTTACAAAGTATATTACATCTCTTTCATGGTTTTACAAAGGACACATGTATCAGCTGTACCCAGAATAGCAAAAGCTAAAGATCCAATACCAATATGATCTACCTCTCTTAAACACCAATACGTCAAAAAAATGTATTTTACATTCCAGATATTATTTTAAATTTTCTAAAAATTATTGCCTTTATACTGTTTAAATTTTCTTTTTACCAGTTTCTACATTTGTTTTTCTGCAAAACTATTTACTAACCTGCATCAATGCCTGCACCAATTTGTCTGCATCCTATTCTGTCAACTTCTTTCCTTAATAAGAGAAGCATTTTACTACTCTGTCATTTAGGGTTTATAAGAGTCAAAAAATTAAAAATCCGGCCAGGCATCTTGGCTCACTCATGTAACCCCAGCACTTTGAGAGACTGAGGTGGTTGGATCACCTGAGGTCGGGAGATCGAGACCAGCCTGGCCAACATGGTGAAACCCTGTCTTTACTAAAAATACAAAAATTAACTGGACACACTTCTGTAATCTCAGTTACTTGGGAAGCTCAGGCAGGAAAATCTCTTGAAATCCGGAGGCAGAGATTGCACTGAGCAGAGATTGCTCCATTGCACTCCAGCCTGGGCGACAAAAGCCAAACTCTGTATCAAAGAAAAAAAACCACGCACAGAAAACCTAGGCCATGAGGCCATTTACTGGCAATTGCGATTTTAGCATATATACCAGAATTTTTGCCAAAAAAAATTAAAAAATAAAAATCTCTGAGCTTTCTCTTCCTTCTTAATTTCTCCTGTAGCTTCCAGCATTTCTCCAGTCTTAAGGAAGTTGAAAGGTATTTTTTTTTCTATTTTGTATAACCTTTACCCTCCATTCTCCCAAATTGCAAATTCAGAAAACACAAGAATGAAAATGAAATAAATCTGTCTTACAGTGTACATTGCAATATCATGATTTTTATACAGAAAACTACTGATTTAAAGAATTTCTATGAATTTGCAAATTAGTAAATTGAAGAAATTACTCTTTGATATCTGAAAATTAATGAAAAACATAATTTGTATTATTGTTTCACATTAATATTCTAAATTGTGCTACAACACATAAAATAATAAATCATACTTCAAAACATGAATTAAAAAGCGTTCTAAAAAACTGTTTAAAAGCATTGATACAATGGATGCCTAGAATTTGTCTCTTTCTCCATTATGTTTAATTATGTCCACATTATTTTTCAGGAGAAAGAAAAACAATTTCTGTCAATTATTTATTAACATTAAAATATTGATGAGCATTGCCTAAAAGTAGTGGGCTTCCAGCTGGTGTACTGAGTTGAACTTTGCTGAAATGCAGCCAGTACAAGGGGCGTGTATTAAAAGAGCAGAACAAATGACTTAACAGGGGCCTAAAAGCAGCAATCAGAAAAGGTTCATTTAACATAGAGATGGCACAAGCTTCAAGCAATTGCCATTACTTAAGTAAGTGTGGAATTACAAAAGGCTATTTATTACAGTCCAACAGGGTCCTGTAGTTTGCTCAAAGAGCTTTGAAGAAATTCAACAGTTATAAAGTCCTGCCCAGTGCAGAAGCAGTAAAATTTGGACAGACCCTCAAAACAGCCTGCAAAGCTTTCATTAAAAAGTTAATGCCATCCTCATCGCAATTGTTCTTTGAAATGAATTATTTTCTCACTCTTCTTTTTTTAAAGGAGGGATGCTGTACCTGGTTATTTTCAAAACTTCTTTGGAAATGAATTTCAACCACTAGGAAAATAATGAAAGTTTCATGGTGGTATTCAAATTAAATGTAGGACTTCATGAATTTAACAGAAAAGTGTTTCAACATCAAGCTTCTTGAAATGCTCTTGAAAAAGATATTAAATGTGACTCCACTCATGGACTTACTTCAGCAGAAAAATTAGTAGGATTTCCTCATTGCAGAAAAAGCAAAATTTGAGTCCAAAGACATGGGGATCTGCATTTTTTTTTAAATTAGTGATTGGATAATGAATTGATTTTTCTAACTATTAAAGTAAGTAAAAGTAAAATATTTTTTTAAAATCCACATTTTTTTATAATTCAGCAATACATTTATAAATATTGAATATGTTTATAAAGCTTCAACTAAATTATAAGAAAAATAACTTATCTTTTACTTTAAATCAACTTTAGAGAGCAAATCGTAGGGTTGTGGGGATGAAACCTATTTAGAGACTAAAATAGAGGATTATTGAACTGATGATGAATTGACAATGAAAGGTAAAGAATGTTAATTTATATGAAAAGATGTTAATTTCTAATGGAAACAAAAAGTTGATAAGAAAATCAATGTAGTTTTTCATCAGAAAAGTAACCCCTACATTTTTCCCTGGCAAAAGATTAAGTCAGGTCAAGCATGGTGGTTTACCCCTGTAATCCTAGCACTTTGAGAAGCCTAGCAGGGAGAACCACTTGAGCCCAGGAGTTCAAGTTCAGCTAGGACAACATGACAAAACCTTGTCTCTACAAATAATTTTTAAAAATGCTGATGGTGGTGGCACAAGCCTGTAATCTCAGCTACTCGGGAGGCTAAGCCAGAAGGACTGCTTTAGCCTGGGAGGTAGAGGCTGCAGTGAGCGGAGATCACATCACTACACTCTAGCCCGGGCAACAAGGACAAGACCCTGACTCAAAAGAAGGAAAAAAAAATGAAAGATTAAGTCATCATTCCCAGGCCAATCATGCTTTAATTAGAAAAGAGTTCCTATGAGATTTTACAAATAACGAAAACAAGTGGGTGGAAAATTTTGGAGTAGATTATACCTTTTGGTGTACAGTTTTCTCTGAAATGGTACAAGGCAAGCATAATGAAATTTTCTGTTATTAGTGAAGAATAAAAAGGAAAAGCATTTATAGACAGGAACAGTTTGAATATGAGGTCAGATGCAAATGTCATCATGTGATAATCATAGAAACATCAACAAATGTGGAACTTTCGCTAACTTGTGGGCAGTACAAATCCATGAGGTTCTTATAGTCCTTGCTTTGAGAAAAATCTATGTAAAAATAAGTTATCTAACAATGAAAACAATTCAACAGTTAATGTATCTGAAAATTTCTGAGTCTTTGTTGTATGTTTGTAGTTTATTTTGCTGTGTTCCATTAAGACAGGGTACCACTGAACTGCAGTGAGACGTTTTGATTGGCTACTGAACCAAGATTCAGATTTGAAAGCAGAAGTACTTTGATAATAGTATGCATTTTTCTTTTTAATGGAAGGATTTGAAGAAGGAAATCAATTAAAATATATTTAATCTTCGGTTAGAAATGAATTTGACCCTATGATATCTGATCCAAACAGATGGCGTTTTTATTCATATTCCATACTTTCGATAATGCTTAGCAAAACGTAGCAAATGTAGAATCACCATCAAATAAGACATTTCAAAACACCTCTAGGTAATTGTAACACATATAGCAGCCATTTCCTTGATATGTTTCATTAAATTTTTTTACATTTTGTTTAAGAAATAAAAATGTAGAAAAGAAGAGTGTTGTTTCCTTTTTTTTTTGTATTCAAGAGATTTTTGTCAGAAGTCAAGACCTACTGTAATATGTCCTAAATCATATCTATTTTACAATACACTAAATATTATTATTACCTATGGATACCATGGGACTCCTTGTGCATAATGGATTTCATATGCACCTCTTGCAGAGCTACATATGAAAATGTTATCAATGAGCTGAAGAATCTGGCATTAATAACTTTGCAACATTATAACAAATAGGTAGTCATGATGTTTTGTTCTCTTTTCAATATATCAAATATATTTCATTGCTTACATTATAGTAGCAGATTGAAAACATCTGCTCATTTGCCACTAGTCCTACCAGCAGTAGAGAATCCCAGCTCATTTTCCCTAGGCCTGCATGTACCAGGGCTATAATCCAGCTGTTGAGCCTGAATATGGGGCCAGATTAATACTCAAGAGCCTTGGAAGTGGAAATAGGGCTTTCCTGCCAAAAATTGGAACAATGAGAGACTCCATTTGCATGTTCTCTTCTCTCTCTGTTTTCACTCGCCACCCATTCCTACCTATTAACTTGCTTCCTTCCACCTTTCCCTCCCATCCTCTCTTTACAGCTCCATCACCTATCCTGACGATTAAGAAAGACCGGACATCCAGAAATAGCATCTCTTTGTCCTGGCAAGAACCTGAGCACCCTAATGGGATCATATTGGACTACGAGGTCAAGTACTATGAAAAGGTGGGGAAACAACGTTGCAGGATTGTGCCGTGTAGGAAAGAGGCTGTCCACTCATGAGCTGCGCTCTCTCAAAGAAACCAGTGTCATCGCTGGTAAATGGTAGAACACTGTATAGAATCGTGGCCATGTGACCCTTTTGATTATTTGTAGAGGAAGGTTTAAAAAGCATCTTGTTGATACCCCCTATTCTATAGCAATAAGCAACATCAAAGATTCCATTGCCAACTTAATCCAGGTAGTTAGGGCAATAGCCCTGACATTCATATCCTTTTACGTCAAGACCCCTGCAAGACCAACTACTTCATTGTGATTTCTTAGTCTATATGTGAGCTATTTTTTTAGTTCATTGCCTCAAGCATCATTTCCTGACCTTCACAGTCACATGCATTTCATTCAATACAGATAGAAACACTGTGCTAGTAATAAAAATATTGTATTATTTAACTGAAGATGAAAAGCTTTCTTGACTCTGTAAAAGGAAATTTAAAAGGGTCGGGGTGGATGGATAAATTTGCCTGACGTAAAGTTGTGGCTTGGTAATGCAATCGTTAAGAAAACAGGAACATGGTTATTTTTACCCTAAATTTAAAAATTATTAAAAAAAATAGGTATGTGGTTATTTTGCCCTGAATGGAGTGGGGAGTATTCCATAATTCTAAGTAACTCATTTTTTTTCTGCTTATAAATGATGGTAAAGTTTAAAGGCAAGATATGTTTAAACCTTAGAATCACAGCTAGTTTCACAGCCACTAAAGTGAACACTAGATATTTGTCTATCTGCTTCAGCTTATAAAGTGTGTGAAAATGAATTAAATGCAAATTGTACATTTATATAGCAGTTTCTATTTACAGAACATTTCTGTGGATGTTCCTTAAGTTTGAGCTGTATAATAACCTTATGAAAGTAGGAAAGTAAGTTCTTTTACAAATAAGACAACTAAAACTGACATTATATAAATTTCCCACAACCTCACGGCTAATAAATATTAGGACTCTGTTTTGAATTGTGGCAGCCATAAGTCCTGCTTTAGTATGTTTTTCCGTATAGCAGGTACTTTTTTCTGCATGAGAATAGATCGTTATCAGAATTATTGGCATAATAGCTGTGCAAAAATGCATAATGTAGAAACATTGTTTTACGTTATGTAGCTATTTCCTTGCTTGAAGTTAATGTATTTCTCAAGTATCATGTCATTTTTTTCAGTCTGTCTTACAGAGATAGGTATGTCTTTTTTGTTAAAAAAAAATTGCTGCCAAATAAACATCATTGTTTCAAAATGATAGTAGAAATAAGTTTTGTATTAGCTTTCAGTCCTCTACCGTGGTAAAAACAAATACTCACATGATTGTGATCTATTTTCAGAAGGGTGACAAGATAGAATGAGCAAAGATAAGAATTCATATTCATAAATGATGCCACAAAAATTTTAAAAAATCAATGATGTGCTTCAGTTTAAACTAGATTTCAGAACTGGGAGAAGAACACCTAACATTTAGATCTATGAGGCCGATCTCAAATTTTAATTGGATACATTCACACCTTTCACAAACATTAATGTTTGTGAAAGGTGTGAATGTATCCAATTAAAATTTGAAATTGTGTCTTATTTCAAACTCCTTCAACAAACGCAACAATCATCTTTTTTTTTTTTTTTTTTTTTTTTTTTTTTTTTTTTTTTTTTGAGATGGAGTTTTGCTTTTGTTGCCCAAGCTGGAATGCAATAGCACCACCTAGAATTACTGCAAACTCCACCTCCCATGTTCAAGCAATTCTCCTGCCTCAGCCTCCCAAATACAGGCATGTGCCATCAGGCCCAGCTAATTTTGTATTTTTAGTAGAGACAGCGTTTCACCATGGTCATGAACTCCTAACTCAGGTGATCCACCCACCTCGGCTTCTGAAAGTACTGGGATTACAGGTGTCAGCCATCATGCCTGGCCATTACTTTTAAACAATATTAACCAATGCAGGGAAAAAATGGCCGAACCTGTTGATTATTTCCTAAATATGTTTTGATACATACATCTCTGTCATATTATTTAAAGTACGTATTCATATAAACACTTATTTGCATGTTATATACCTAAATTTAAAAATTAATTCTAACCAGGCGCGGTGGCTCAAGCCTGTAATCCCAGCACTTTGGGAGGCCGAGGCTGGTGGATCACAAGGTCAAGAGATCGAGACCATCCTGGTCAACATGGTGAAACCCCGTCTCTACTAAAAATACAAAAAATTAGCTGGGCATGGTGGTGCATGCCTGTAATCCAAGCTACTCAGGAGGCTGAGGCAGGAGAATTGCCTGAACCCGGGAGGCGGAGGTTGCGGTGAGCCGAGATCGCGCCATTGCACTCCAGCCTGGGTAACAAGAGCGAAACTCCATCTCAAAAAAAAAAAAATAATAATAATAATAATTCTAAATGTTTACAGTAGGCTTGGTAATATTTAGAGAGTTTCTCTAGGGTTTAAGCCCCACAAAGCCTAACTTTCTTTGGTGTCAGTAATGCATGACATGTTTTCTGTACTAGTCAATCTACTTTTGGTTGGGGATCTACAGTGTTTCATATCAGCCACTCCAGTCCCTGCCGTACGTTCAGGCACATTGTACCATTGCTTGAGATTAGGTTCCCCATAGGAGCTCTGTGTATAAGAATATATGTCAGAAAAAAACACAATCCTGCATAAATTCAATTTTTGTAAACAAGGATTGACACAAAGAGACCACTATAATGTGCAGTGAATCTAACATACAATGTTAATCTCCTAGAGGAGATCCTTGTTGGGAAATATTTCTAGCCTTTGATCTGGAGATTTTTGTCTCTACCAAACCACAGTGACTTAAAGTAAATACAGTACAAATACGGTTATGCTAAAAATAGTTAATGTAGAACTACATATAAAACCTTTTTATGTTTAATATTTTAAGGTTAATAGAAAAATGTTCTACTTCAGAATCAATATAGCAATCCTAATAGGAGTACTCTAGAAATTCCATTGTATCTGTGTGGGTGCCATTTTTCCCAAACACTATTTAGGTTTAATTCAAAGAGATATTTTCTTCTTTGTAAGTTTATTATTGGAATTAGATTAAAGCTTTCTCTCAGCCTTGTCTTTGAAGAGAACATACTTTCTCTCACATATTTACTGGTTAGTTAGAATAAAGCCAAACTTTTCCTGCTTCACGTGCAGGGCAGATATCATAATACTGAAATTAGGAAATTCTGTAAATGTTTTTGTCTTTTAGAAATGCCTCTGTTGGGTCGGGCACGGTGACTCACGCCTGCAATCCCAGCACTTTGGGAGCCTAAGGCAGGTGGATCACCTGAGGTCAGGAGTTCAAGACCAGACTGGCCAACATGCGAAACCCTTTCTCTGCTAAAAATACAAAAACTAGCTGGGCATGATGGCGCATGCCTGTAGTCCCAGCTACTTGGGAGGCTGAGGCAGTAGAATCGCTTGAACCTGGGAGGCAGAGGTTTTGGTAAGCTGAGTTCGTACCACTGTACTCCAGCTTGGGCAACAGAGTGAGACTCCATCAGAAAAAAAAAAAAGCCTATGTTGCATTCAGAGAATAAAATAATTGAAATAATGGATATGACTTTTTAAATCCATCTTAAGACCTGTGGTAAAATACAAAAGAATCAGGTTTGAGTGGTTCACTGTTTACCATTTTAAAGCATTATGAAGATTTGATTTTAACATGACTTTTTTTTCTGACCTCAAAGCAGGAACAAGAGACAAGTTATACCATTCTAAGAGCAAGAGCCACAAATGTTACCATCAGTGGCCTCAAGCCTGACACAACATACGTATTCCAAATCCGAGCCCGAACAGCCGCTGGATATGGGACGAACAGCCGCAAGTTTGAGTTTGAAACCAGTCCAGATTGTATGTATCATTTCAGTGTAGTTTAGAGGAGAGGGTAGGGGTCTTGCAAAAGATGTCTGATCACTTATTCTCATTATCTCTAAGTCTTAACCAAATGTGATGCATTTAAGGTATATTGCTTGGGACATTCAGCAATTTGCAGAGCCCCGTGTCTATATACAGTATTTGTGTTTATGTGGGCGTACATTTTGTGTTTCTTTTTTTCTCTTGCACAAATCAAACATATTCTAATGCTTGAAATGCTTCTGGTTTTTTGTTAGCTGTAAATTGCTTTAGAGGAACATTATTTAATAACGTAACACACTTTCAGTGCCTGTCATTGCAGATATTCTAGGTTCATTGCATGATTCAGTGAACTACAAAAAAGAAACTCGCTGATCCATGAGAATCTTAATTTTGTTTTAATCCTTAACACATTCAATAGTATATCACATAGAGAATAAGGATTTTATAAAATGTGTTTTATCACTTTATTCACATTCACAAGTAATTTGGATAGCCGGTTCCTTTAACCCCAAATTTGGCTAAAATTGTCCTAAAACTGGTAAGCATTTTCCCAGTAAGTTTTCTTTTTTCAGATGAATTTTCTTAATACTTTAAAAAGCCCTTCGATAAAATATAATTTTCAAAAAGGTAAAATCATGTCTATGGCACTAATATAAAATGAATACAAGTTAATGATTTTATTTAACTTATTAATTAATCAGCAGATTAGTAAGAGATTAAAACCTGTTTTAAGAAAAACTTGAAGAACAGATACATAACTCTGTGTGTGTGTGTGTGTGTGTGTGTGTGTGTGTGTGTGTGCATATGTTTAAGCAGTCATAATATGTTAAAAATGTGCTAATATATTCCAAATTGGTTAATATCCAGTTGGGCTAATAAATGTAATGATCGAGGTCATCTTTCCTACAGGGCACAAACCAGTTGTATTTCTAGTAAATAAGTGTTATTTTAATTATTAAAGGAAAAATTATATATATATATATATATTTATATATCACTATTGGTTTTCTAAAACCTAAATTCACTGTTGTAAAATAGCCTAGAAAGATGAGCAAAGATTCATACCCTTTAGAAATAGATTATCCAGGAAGGATCTGACAATGCTCAACATTCTGCTGAGAGAAGCATCATCATCTTCTGACCATTCCCATCTGCCCTTTTTCCCTGACATCTATAGTTCCCATCTTCTAGATAGTTTGTTTCTGACATAAAATCTCATTGTTATTGGTGTATTTTTGTGTCCAAATTTGATGACTAATAAAAACACTCAGGATTGACCTAAAAATATAAAATCATTCTAGTTATACAGCATTTACTCCATCAAGTTTACTCATGTTGGAGTACATATTTTATGGCATACTTTCTGTCAGACAATTAGAAATGCTGCTTACAATAAGGAGCTGTAAATTGCGCCAGGTATTGAGATGCTAATGTTTTTAGAAATCATCTGCTTTCAGCTGAACCATGACAATTCTACTCAAAGGAAAGCTGCCATCCTCAAATACGTAAATCTATTCTTAAAGATCTCTTGTCATTGTCACGATAAAATGAATATGGAGAAATCACTCTCAGAGGATATTAGAAACAATACATGAAATAGTATGAAAATTCAAGTGCCGGCAGGTTTAAAACAAATTAAAAATTGTAGATAACTCAACATAAAATATAAGGGTAACAACACTATTACTTCTAAGACTTTTTGCAAATGCTGATTGGTACAAAGAAAGTTTCTATCAGTTTCTATCTTTGAAATGATTACGGATTAAATTTTCTCAAAAAAAAATTTCTTTTTTTGAGACAGTCTTGCTCTGTCACCCAAGTTGGAGTACAATAGCAGGATCTCAGCTCACTGCAACCTCTGTCTCTCAGATTCAAGCAATTCTTCTGTCTCGACCTCCCGAGTAGCTGTGACTACAGCCGCACGCCACCAAGTCCAGCTATTTTTTTTCACTTCTTTCTTTCTTTTTTTTTTTTTTTTTTGGTATTTTTAGAACAAATGGGGTTTCGCCATATTGGTCAGGCTGGTCTCAAACTCCTGACCTCAGTGTGATCCACCTGCCTCGGCCTTCAAAAGTGCTGGATTTATATGAATATTTGAAATAACAGCAATAACAAAATCTATATTTGATTTATCAGGAGAGATCCGAAATAATAGAAGCAGTGTAAGCAAATTTTATTGTATCCGGTGGTGGAAATCAGGCACATTATGAGGCAAAGGCTCAGATCAATATTAGATAAACACTTTTTATTTGTATTTGGGAACATCCCTCTAATCTTACATGGTCTTAACAGTTAACCCTCTCTGATAAGTAAATTTGCAAAAACAATATATTTTAAAGTTCTAATCTAGTTCCATATTTATCACAGATATTGCTGTGGTAGCATTTATGCATAAACTTCTAATGCGGCTTTGGTGTCTGAGGTTTAAGAAATATCTCATTTGAAAATTGCAGGGTCTTGGTATTTTTGCCAAGTAAGTTTTTTATTAGAAATGCTTCCATTGATTGAGAGAGAGAAGAGGAAAAAGAATGAAAAAAATGAGCTTTTTTTCTCCTTCCTCATTTATTTAAAAACTATGAGTTACACATTTTAATTTATTAAGAAAACTTAGTTTACTTTTGCTATTTCACCATAATTTTTCCAGATTTTAAATATAAATGAGAAAAAAAATCCCTTTTGTCTTAGGAGGTAAAAGACAAACATTTTTTTGTCTATTACTTTTTTTAAATCAAAATGACACATTCTTAAATACTCTAAGTATTTAATAAGAGTCTTATTTTCCTACGTTGATTTATTAAAACATAGGCAAAAGAATTATGTTTGTATTCAACAGTTTCATTTTTTCTCATTTTAATTTAATTTTATTTAATTTATGTATTTATTTATTCTCTTTGAGACTGAGTCTTGTTGTCACCGAGGCCGGAGTGCATTGGTGCGATCTCGGCTCACTATAAGATCTGTCTCCCAGATTCAAGTGATTTTGTAGCTGGTATAACAGGCGTGTGCCACAACACCCAGCTAATTTTTTTATTTTCAGTAGAGATGGGGGTTTCACCATGTTGGTCAGGCTGATCTCGAACAACTGACATCAAGTAATTCAACTGCCTCGGCCTCCAAAAATATTGGAATTATAGTCATGAGCCACTGCAACCAACCCGTTTTAATTTTTCAATTATGTAAGAATTCTCATTCATGACATGTATGCATATTTCTTAGTAGAACACAAGGTATTTTGAGCTAGAATCTAGATAATACTGTCTGAACTTTATAGAGAAGAGATGGAGGCAGAGTAAACCACATATTTTTTTTCTAAGTGCTCTAAAATATCTTATTTTTGTATGTCAGTACTTTATATTTATTATCATCTTCATTTTATAGATGAAGAAACTGAGGCATAGAGAGGCCAAGGAAGTTTTCCAAAGTCACGCAGTTGGCAAGGGACACGTTGATTCCAGAATCCATGTTTCTGTGTGACAGTATATAAAGCAGGATGATAAACATTTCATTTGATTCTGTTCTGTAAGCCATTCAGATACTATTATTTCCTTGTATACATCACCTAAGATACAGAGCTTGTGTGTTTTTTTCTAAGTTTGCATATCTGGTCAGGGGAGCAGCAATCCTAGAATCACCAAGTTTCGAAGTGTTAAACCAGGGCAAGCATTGCACATGGAAAAAAAGAACTTAGAGAAATTTACAAGAAAAAAACAGCTCCATCAAAAAGAGGGCAAAGGATATGAACAGACACTTCTCAAAAGAAGGCATTGATGCAGCCAACAAACATGAAAAAAAAGAGCTCATCATCACTGGTTATTAGAGAAATGCAAATCAAAACCACATTGAGATACCCATAGAAAGCATGGAGTGTAACACAGAAGAGTGAAAGGGTTTTCCTAGCATGAAGGCAGCGCCGCCGATGTGAGAAGTACAGACATTAAGTCGTGTTTGGAAAAGCAGGTAGTCCAACTGTTTGGAAACCCTCAGTTGGGACAGACTAAAGCTGCGGTGTGTGCTTTGTGCACAAGAAAACCAGAGATAAAGTGGGAGTTAAGAGCAAATAGGTTAGAGCAGAGGAGCATTATTAGAGTGAACTTGGCAAGTCCTTTCAAGTCTCCATGTCTTAGTTTTACTATCTGGAAATTGGGGAAGATCATGTGAATAACTCATGAGGTTTTACTGTTGATTAAATGCATTATTATTTGTAAAGTATTAAGATATTACCTCACATAGCCTCATACAGCAGGTACTCACTGCGTGTGTGCTGTAGTTAAACAAATAGTCCATAATTTGAACATCTGAAGAATTTCCAGAATAACAATCTATGGAATAAAGTTGAGTTTTAAAATCAGAGGACTTCGTTGGATATGACTATGAAGAAGGCAACCCCAGGGATAATTTAATTAGCACTCCCTATGCCTTACACCCTCATTATCTGTTGTTTTTGAAGAGTAAAAGTGTTGCAGTCTTACTTTCTTGGACCCTATTATTAGGAGATATAAAGGAAATCTGACAAAAGGAGAATTAAATCATTACATAGAGAAATTTCTGCATAAAAATTAGGCATTCATCATCTATAATTTTGTAGGTAAAAGAGTACTTTTGCAACATTTTCATCAGGGAAATAATATAAAAATTTGTAACATTTAATGAGCACTTAATATATGCTTGGCACTACTGTAAGTATTTTACTAGTATTAACTCATTTAATTCTCAAACAACAAAATTATGTCACACAGCAAATAGGTATAAATGCAGGAGTTCTGACGCAAAAGAATGAGCCCCAAATCATTCTTTTGAGAGAGAAAGCCAGCACTCTGTAGGATGGAGTAAAATGCAAATGACTGGAAACAGAGTGAACAGAATAAAACATCAAATTGAATTTCTAAGAAATGTAATAGCTATCAATTATGTTAAATTATTAGACACCTATGTAACGCATCACTATTATTCATTCACATTATTTACTAATTTTAGAAACAAAAATGATCTGATTTAGTTATGTGCTTTAGATAGTCTCTGAAAGTCATATATTTTTAGAGATAGAAAAAACCGTAGAGAAATCCTGGTTTAATTTTGTTTTCAACAGAAAAATAGAGAATTATTCTTTCTCCTATCATATTTTCCTTCCCAGTTTCACTGAGCTTTATTTTATAAGCTGGCTAATCAAAATAATCAGAAAATTCATACCTTACTACTTCCTAAAAATTATTACAGTATGCAAACTGAAAAGCATGAGTTTAAGTCATCACTATATGTTTACGGAGCATTTTTAAAATACTATTGGGTTAAGCTATTTCACAAACCATTCGCAGATCGATAGCCAATGGATAGGGATGCATCAGTCAGATGCTCTGGGAAGCAGGTACGGAGATGGAACTCTAAGAGCTTTATAGGAGAAGTACGTGTGAAGGATAAAAGGCAGATGGAGCTGAGCCAGGCAGGTAGAGCATGGACATCTGTCATCTGTGAAGAGAAGGAGGGAAAAAAGAATGGGTTGAGGAAGGGAAGCCCCAGACAGCAATGCAGCCCTCAGGTCTCAGTCAAGCAAATGGGGATCTTCAGAGTACAGATCGCCCACTTGAGCAGTGTTGTACTGGGGAGGGATGGTTAGGCTCCAGTAGTTCTTTGCCAGTACTGTTAAGTCACTGAGGGGAAGATAACCTGTGCTCGAAAGCTACAGTGGATCCTGAAGGTGCAGCAGCTGGAGGCTGTCTGCTCTCTGCACTCTCTGCAGCAGGAACATCTGAGCAAGCACTCCTGTGACTGCCATAGCAGTATAAACAATAGTTTGCTGGTGGTAAAGAATAAAGGGCTTGCAACAGTTCATATTATGAGTGTGCCATCCTGCCACACTCTGAGCACTTTTCTTCAGATGTAGTCACAGAAAACTCCTAATAGCCCATCTATCACGTTTCTTTTCTTGTGTTATTTAATGATCCCTAAGACCACATAGTTTAGAGAAAATATTCCAAACTTAGATTTGTTCATGCTGAAGATGCCATGTTGGTTCCTGGAGAGGTGATAGTATTCAGATAACTAAAGTCTGCTCTTCTTCTGAGTCCCGATGTGTTCATGTATTTAATCAGCGTTTATGGCAAGAACAGCATGTGCAAATCTGAGCCGTAAAAGAGGCTGTTCCAGGAAAATTGTGTGTGTTTTACAAAATCTAGAGATTAGGATGCTTAAGGAGTTGTAGAAGGCATGGCTGGAGATTTAAACATGAAACAGATCCTAAATAGTTTTTACATGCTCTGCTATAAAATTTGCATTTTATCCTGAAAGTGATGGACAACCAAAATTTTCCTATGCAAAAATTGTATGCATAGGAATGACATGGTGAAATTTCTGGTTTAAAAGGAATATTCTAAAAGGTAAAAGATGTGAAAAATATACAAATGGAGACCAAGTTTAGGAATTTCTAATTATAATCCAGAACATAAATGAAGACTTAAACTGGGATATTTAAGAGTATTTGGCAATTAGTTGGATGCAGAATGATTAGCAGACAGAGAAGAGAAGGTTATTTTACATTTATGGTCTAGATTCTTGATCCTCAAAATGTTGTGGTCTGGACTCAGCATCAGCAACACTGCCTGTGTGTTCATAAGAAATGTACAGTCTCATTCCTCACTCCGGGTTGACTGAATCAGAAACTGCTTTTCCAGAGATTCCTGAGTGGTTTGTGTGAACATTAAAGTTTGAGAAGCATTGTTCTGGGTCAAGAGTCAGTAAACTTTTTTTCTATAATAGGCCAGACATATTTCAGGCTTTATGTACATTCATTCTCTATTGCTGCTACTCAACCTGCCCATTCTAGCATCAAATCAGTCACAGACAATACACAAATTGATTGGTCGTGGTTATGTTCCAATAAAACTTTATTTATGGACAGCAAGATTTGAATTTCCTGATTTAGAATTTTCACATCATGAAATCCCATTCTTTTGACTTTTTACAACTGTTAAAAGGAACGTGAAACCATTCTAAACTCATGAGCTGTACAGAAACAGGGCACAGGCAAGATTTGGCCCCTGGGCCTTTTGGCCAACTGTCTAGGTGAATAAATGAGCTCAGGAGCCATTTATAGGGTAGGAAATAGAAGGACAGTTTGCTGGTAGTATGTGTTGAGGTCCATGTGTTATATCACTTTTCAAAGGAATACAGATATTGGAGGTAAAGTAAGCTTAATTAGAAAGCTTTCAAAAATTTTATGCTGAGAAATCTTCATCTCCCTAAGATTCTTCCATAACTTCTGGTTCATTCAACAAGTTTTTTGTCATTGAGGAGGGAGAAACTCAGTACAGCATATTTGGCACAGGAGACATTTAAATGATGTTTGATTGATGTCATTGAAACAGAGTATTCAATCTCATTAATTAGGTAGAAATTTCAAGCAAAATTATGGAAACTATGTTTTTAAACACTAAGAATATTTTCAACACCGTATCAGACATTAAGCCATATTTCAGGTAAAAGTAGGACAGAAATAATTTAATTAATCAGCGGTTCCATGGAGGTGTCAGTCATGACGATAATGCCTGTTCTTATTTTTTCTCTTCAACGTCACAGCTTTCTCCATCTCCGGTGAAAGTAGCCAAGTGGTCATGATCGCCATTTCAGCAGCAGTAGCAGTCATTCTTCTCACTGTTGTCGTCTATGTTTTGATTGGGAGGTGAGTTCACAGTCTGTTTTACTATTTTCTCTCATTATTGCTTTGTTTCCTGCCCCTGATTGCCATTAAAATTTGAAGAGTGTGCTCAATAAAATATTTTAACAAACCAGAAAGTCTTTCTCTTATTTTAGGTCCTCTCTCCTTCTTTTCTTTGTGTCTCCATCCTTAGTTTGGATTTTCTGCTCTACATTAAATTCCTGTCCCCACTCTTTAACACACACCCCTCCCTTTCTCTCTTCTGACCTTACTCCTACTTTTTACTTTCTTTCTCTAATTATCTTCTCGCTCTTCAAATAACCCCAGATTTCCTTGACACTTTCTCACCCAGAACGTGGGTAACACTGCACAGCACTAATCATTACTCATGGAGACTTTACCCTTCACTCCTTCTAACAGTAGTTGTTAAAAAATACTATAAACACATTCTAAGGCCATTATAAAAACTGAACTGGAGGGTCTGCACAGTGGGAAGCAACTCTCTGTATCTCCTCATTAGGCAGCTTTCCAGGGTCTCCAGAGAGAGGGGCTTTCTATAGGGGATTTAGAAAATATGAAGTTATTAAACTTTCACTAAAGCATTTAATTGTTTGAGGAAGATGCTTCATTTTTATGGTTTGCACGTTTTGAGCATAGATAACTATTTCAAGTATATTCCTCTTATGTGCTGCTTTCTTTGATTTACCTCCAGGTTCTGTGGCTATAACAAGTCAAAACATGGGGCAGATGAAAAAAGACTTCACTTTGGCAATGGGCATTGTAAGTTTCTTAACATGGCTTTTTATTTTGTTTCACCGTTTCAGTTTTAGCAGTTGCTGATTTACAATTGGTTAACTTCCGCTTGACAAAGAGACTTCAGAAGTAGTTTTATGGAAAAACCGAGTACATTAAATTTATTTTAGAAAAAGAAGGAAATTCATGGTTCTGCATTAAGTAATTTTTACATGTGTACATTTCAGCGTACTCAAGCTAAAATAAAGGGTAATCTGTGGTTTACTTTCAAATAACGCACATGATAGGTAGAAGAAACTGCAGTCAGCTCCGCGTGGCTGAAATGCAAAGCGTATCTTCAATTTCCTTATTACTAGTCCTCTGCTAAACTCTAAATGGGAGACTTTTCTCTTTCCTAACTGCCAAGTAAATATAAACAACCTCTGTTTATGTGAAGTGTCTTATTTCATTTTATCAACCAATCTAGAAAGAGTCTTTAAAATAAACTGTTTATTTTGCAGTTACATGATATCCAACTAGTAGTAAAGCCAGAACTTTCTCTTCACATTTTAATTTATCCTTTTAATTTTTTTTAAAATACACATTCAGAAAACAAAGTGTTTACAACTAACAAAAAGGTTTTTTTTTTGTTTTTTTGTTGTTGTTGTTGTTGCTGTTGTTTTTTCTGGTGAAACGAATCATTCCAGGTGTTTTGCTTTTCCAAACTATGGCTCAGCTTACTGTAGCAATTACTAATCAGCGGCTTAAATAGCATGTTCTCATGGAAATTAGTACAAGAATTATACTCATGCTCATGTGCTCTAAAATAATCTCAGTATAACTAATGTAGTCTTTTAAGCAATTCTTTCTTTAGTATTCACTATTTTCTTCTAAAAGTATTTGCGAATCAATATGATACTTTGTGTCAGTCATCAAATTATTGTCTAAAAATGATAGAGTTATAACTCATCTAAAAAACCTGACTACCTGTTGCTAACATGCAAGGAAGCATATAGTACAGTAGCTTGAAAAAACAATGCCTTTCAGAATATAAATTGATATCAGATGAAAGCAGGATAAGAGTTTGCAGAAGCATTGTTTTGTTCATCTCATTACAAGGTCTATATAAAATAATTCACGCAAAAAAAGCCAAGGTACTGCATTCCTAAAATCAATATCACCTCAGTCCAGATTAATTAGGTGACCAGCTCAGAATTCTAAAAACAATGCCAGAACAAGCTGCAGGATACTTGTCTTTCTTTTTCTCAATGGGCCCACAAAACACTTGTGTTACAATTTCTATACATAAATTAGAGCAGTGGAATTCTTGTGGATTAAGTCACCCCTAGTTTGACTTGGACAGTTGTTGTAAACATCATCTTTAGACCAACACTGTACTAATTTTAAGTTTTTATGGAAACTGTAAGTCTTATGGATTTGTAGTTTTGGTAGATTTCTGTGTGCCAATTACTAAACAGGTTCCTGTAACGTCCCAGTCTGTTTTGCTATTGTTTTTATGGTGGATTTTGTTGAACGTTTAATTTTTTTTCAAATGCACAGTATCCTTATGGCAAAACAAAAAAGAAATGCATTTCATCCTGGCTGCAAAGGCATAAAGTAACTTATATGCATATCATAAACTTTCTGCCTCTTAAAACTACAGCTGGTTTATTTCAAACCATTTATTTGGTATTACTTTAAAAAGCTCTAGCTATGAACTGTTCCCTCCAGCCTTGTTACAAATCCTATAATATTGCTTCAAAAGGAAAGAAATGTGTTTCACCTCCTAAGATCTTGTCCCCTTACCCTTTCTGGCTGGGCCTTTTTACTTCTTTGCTATCCTTAGGGCAACTCATGCTGGTAAAATGGAAATGTAAATTATTGTGTTTGCACAGAATGAGCTGTAAAGTTGTGCAGCTTAACACGTGTGCATGTGTTTATTATCTGGTTTTCATGACAGAGCCCAGCTACTCTGTATGTTGCCCTTAATTATTGGTGTGAAGGGATTATGTGCCTTGCAGCCTGAATCACCTGATTCCTGAAATCTCTGGGGTCAGCATTTAAAATTGACAGCCAATGCTTCCACAGTGAACACACTATTTTACTTGAGGGTATATATGTTTATGTTTGATATTTTTTCCCCAAATGTCTTATGGATGGAAAAGAAATTCACCTTATTTTAATTAATAGCAATAAATAAGACTGATTTTATTTGGGATTGATTATTTACGTTTCAGATTATTTAGTAATATTAGTATTACACATAAGTATTAATCATACATATATTCTCTACAGGCTAACTGGTCCTGAAGGGTCCATCTAAATCACAGTTTCAAGGCTTTTTAAGGCCAATGCTTATTTAAAATATGTGAGACATTGTTCCTAACAACTCATTTTATAATCTTCATAAATTCTGATGCCAGGAAATCTCCCCTAAATTAATTTTATTAACTTCAGCAAGGAAAAGCAGTTGTAATTATGTACAAAACAGCTTCATTTTACCTTACATTTAAAGTCTCATTTTATTTCCTTGGAAAGGATGGCTAGATTTCTTTACCTTATTGTTACAAAGTAAGGGCAAATAAAAACTGGAAAATCACACATTATAGGGCCAATCTGATACAAGTTTTCATATTAAAATGTAACTAGATTGACTAAATGAAAAGATTCCAACAAGACTTTATTTCCTAACATATTTTAATAATGGTTACTTACTTTTACAGTTTTTATTACTACACATCTAGAAAAGTATGATAGTTTTCCTTAATCTTAAAGAAGTTTCTTCTTTCAAAAGTAAAGGGTTTTAGTACCAATAATGTTTGGAGTCATTTTAATGTAATAATAAAGCACAGATCACTATATTCAAGGATGGCTCTCCCATCTGTGTTTATAGGAAGGAATTATGCTTTTATGGAAGAAGCATGTGAGCTGATCTGTGAGCTCCGAAGAAATGGACATTTCTGAGCTTAAATTCTACGATTAGAAAACCTCAATGATATTAATAATCATAAATACATGTTCTTAACCATGAAAACACTAATTAGGGCAATGAGCTCTGTCAGTATTGAGTGGGAACTGTGTAGCAATCTCTCAAGCCAGGCATTTGATGGTCATGGATTTTTTTCTCAGAGCCCTAGTATGTCTTTTTTGCCTAGATATTCAAGATGAGAAACTCTAAAAGGGAAGTTCTCTCTTCAGAAGGTTTGAAGAGACCCTCAAGAGTTTGTCCAAAGCAAGGGACAAAACTTGCATTTGCCCATTTCTGTGGATATTGACTTCCTAGATAGTGGTGTCCTTTCACATCATCCACACCCCGCTTCAAGCTGCATAGCAGCTGCTCTTTTGTTATGGCTGTATCAGCACCAGGCAGAAGTGGGAGTCGTGCTGGGTTTTCGTCCGCATTCTCTCTGTGCCCTCTCACTGCTATCCTTGTTTCCAAGTCATCCAAATATTAGCTGAGGAAAATAGAGTTTTTACCTAACCTCTTTCTCAGCCACAGTTTCTTCTGCAACCAATTCGTTCTTACACTGATTTTTCTTTACTCAAAAGCTCTACGAAAGCGTCACAGGAACATACATTACAATGCATTATAACTGTGAGTTTCATGAAGTTGTCATGTAGTTGGATGAATTGATCATTTGTTAACACATACTGTGAAATCCTCAACTTGTTGGCTTAATGTTCATTGTACTGAAGCTTCCCAGAAAAACTGCTGGTATCTGCAGTCTCCACACCTACTTAATACAAACTAAAAACTAACTCACAGAAATGATTGGTTCACACAAAGTGTCCAGTTGTGACTTTGCCAATGAGATTCTCCCATTATGAAGTATTACTGGAAACAATAATGTCTGATTTTATTTGTTATATTAGAAAAAAACTCAATAATTTATTGTAATGAATGAAAAAAGATTTCACTATTAAGTATCCATATTCTGTGCTAAAACAATGCTATCAATGTTACCAAAATTTAAAACAAAATCAGTAGTATTAGTAGATATACCTTGGAAGTTACATTGCAATTTCTTTTAATGTTAGAGCATGTTTATTTACTTTAGTAGATCTTAGAGTCACTTTTTTAAAACTCAGGGATTTTGTTCAGAGAAAGTTAGGTTATTGAAAATAGCAAATTGTCTCCACTGTTATTTTTCCAAATTATAAGAATCCTATTAATATTTAATCAAATCTAAATTGACTCTCCTGTATCAGTTGTCTGTAATATTTTAATTACAGGATATGAACATTTTTATCTTCAGAATAATTTAATGAATAAATACAATATGAAAGAGATTTTTATTTAATGAATTATAGATATGACTTATGTTTGGAACTAAGCTCCTTAGTGCCATTATTAAACTCATAGACAATATTTATTTTGCCTCTAATTATGTTGTAAAGCTACAAGATATGATTATGTTTAACTTATACTATATTGGTGTGTATACAGAATACATACATGTATATGTATACTAACAGCTTAAAGTAGGTCTGTAATTACAGTGGGAGATTTTGATTATGAATGTTAATATAAACAGTATAGTGTCAGAAGGTATACCATTTTATATCCTTTAATTTATCTATAATTGTAGCCATTATCTCACCTTATAAAGGTATTATTTTCAGATCTTTGGTTGTAATAGATATCTGGTTATTATAACATTTGTGCAATCATAAATATGCAATAGCATGATGGTGTTCAGTCACGATTGCTCCTGGTAATAATGACTATGTCTAATCAATTCTGAATAATTTTTCTTCTTAAGATCCCCTTTCTTGAATATCCATTTTCCTTCTGGTGTTTTTGCGAAGAAAACTCCTCATTGTGGTTCCTTTTTATAATTCATCATAAAGAACTTGTTTTCTTAAAATTTTCAATGCTCAGTCCAATGTCACTGCCAGTTTGTGTGATAATACAGAATAAACGGAAGGTTGTGCACCTTTCTGGGGTGGGGATTTTTTTTAACCAATAATGTCATAAAATTTGATCTGTAATTGTTTTTATGAAACTAGCTACAATTGTGCCTTTCTTTCTTTCCTCAAACAGTAAAACTTCCAGGTCTCAGGACTTACGTTGACCCACATACATACGAAGACCCTACCCAAGCTGTTCATGAGTTTGCCAAGGAATTGGATGCCACCAACATATCCATTGATAAAGTTGTTGGAGCAGGTAACCACAATGACCCTCCTGCCAGCTTCTGTGGGTGAATCACAAGTTTACAGCTATGAATAAAAGTGCTACCTAAGATTATTGAGTCTCTGAAACCTAAGTATATTGCTAAGGAAGTGGGAATTTTCTGATTTCATGATCAAAGGCAAGTAATAAATAAATGCAGTATATAATGGAATGTAATGAGTTCAAAGGTGCCAGACTTACCGACTCACAGACTATGGCTGCTTTTCATTTATTAAATGTCTGATGTGATGTCAGCAACAACTCTATCTTCCCATAGCTGTGCTGATCCTGTCTCACACAGCCTACTTGGCTAAGTAAGGATAACTGGATAAAAGTCTTTCAGTTTAGACAAGCTGGGTAATTAAAAGTTTGATTTTCAATTTTAAAATCATTTTTGGATTAAAAGAACAAACAAGACAAAATATAATTTTGACTCGTCTTACACAAATTTTATCACAACTAGAGTGGATATTTTAAATAGCATAAAGTGCTCCATTTTAATGCTTGCTTGACTTTGAATAGTCTTATTATATTAAAGTTTTTTTTATATAAAGATATCTCTTTGTTCTAATGATTAATTTAAACAATAATAATTTCATTAACAGTCACCTATGAAATGATTATTAATCACAGTTGCATATTTATAAGAAAAAATTCACATATTTATAAAATAACGGTATTTTATACACTTACACATAAACACATGGTCATCCATAATATATGCAGTAAACATGGGGATATAACTGCTATTCAAAAGTAAAAATGAACCATGCTCAGCAATAAAATATTTCATACCATGATGTCGTTCAACGTCAGTCCCAAAACAAACATGGACTAGTTATGTTGATGCAGGAAGTAGAGCAAAAGACTGAAAAATTAACTCACTGAATTTTGCATAATGTCAGATCACATTTTCTGCAAGTACTATCTATGTTTATATATTTATGGGTGATATGTCTTTACAAAAATGTACATGAAATGCTCTCTGTTTCTTTTTCTATATGCCAAAGTAGTATTTTAAAATCAAGTAGTAGTTATTATGTGACCAGGATGAGCTTATTATTCCTATGATGTAAATATAATAATTTTCTAGAGCTTCTTTTCTAATTTTCCTAATTTCTTATCCTGAAATGTACATGTACAGGTAATATTAAAATATGAAACTTGTGTTCACAGAGGGAAAATGGAGTAGGTACTTCTTTTTCACAATCTAAGACTTGAGAGTAAACATATTTGCTGTACATCTGTGGTGATCCAGTGCCGAAACAGATAGGTATTGTTTACTCTGCTTCATTTCTGCAGTACTGACTTTTGAACAGCTCCATGATGCAGAAGGGTTTAGTCTGGCTGGTTTTAATGTTTCCCCACAAGAGTGCACTTTTCTCCAGCATGGAACCTCCAGTAGCAAATGCAGCACAAGGATTTTGAATGCTCAACTGGAGAATACGTTGAAAGCAGGAAAAGGTTACTTATGCTAAGCCACTGTACAGAAGCCAGACAGACATTATTACGATGTTGAAATTTAGGTACCTCTCCATTGGTAAAAGATGTCTTATGTAAATAATACTGACAGACTCAGATATCCAGTTCATGGTGATTGAGACAAACCATATCATTAAAAATAGGAGCAGATAAATGAGATAAGGGGAGGTCTATTTATACTGAATAACTTAATCCCTCATGCTCATTAAAGATTCTAATAGAGACTCCTTCCTATTTCTCTCTTTGAGTATATTTGTAAACTATAAGACATACGTCCATGTTCAGGGTTTTGCAGCCAACATTCACATTTGCAAAGTTAAGAACAATGAAACTGTGCTTATTTAATTTGCAAATAGGTGTATCTTCAAGGTTGGTTATATATTTTGATTATGCTTACATTACTAAAACAGTAGAAGGAGGGTTTAAGGCTAGTGCTGGAGGGGGTCATGCTACTTAAATAAAAGTAGTCATTTTTTTCTTCTTTAAATGAAATTAGCATAGTAAATTTTATTTTGAGCAAGTTTTACATTTTGCATCTTAAATCAGAATACAGTCCCCATTCTCATAAAGCATACCTATTTCAAAGAGCAAATAAAAGGTGCTGTACTTACTAGATTTTAAAAATCATGATCTAGTAGCTATACTTTTATCGAAAAATGACAAGTTATAAATTTTCTTTAGTATGGGTGCAAAGTTAATTGAATAAGACAGTATAAAACTTGGCTAGATGAAATGATTAGAAACTGCATTTTCCCTGTCTTTGTTAACTTTTCCAATGCAGTTGTTTTAGTTTTTAGCTTTTAATCATTTTCTATTTTTAGCAGCTTTCTTGAGGTATAACTTGCCAACCATAAAGCTTACCTGTTTAAATATACAAGTCTGTAAATTTTTAATATATTTTCAGAGTCTTATAAACATCATTGCTATCCCAACGCAGTCATTTTAAATTATTAAAAAGATAATTGAGTTAATATTTAGTATTTCTGTGTCTTTTATAAAATATTGGCGGCTCTTTCTTGTGTTTATCTGATGAAATCATCAATTACTAAATTTGGGGATTTTTAGAAATTAGCATCACTGAAACACAATTTTCAGGAATTTCAAAGGTAAATATATACATGTACATGTTTATGTGTCCAGGTGTCCCACTTACAGCAAAGAGAACTCTTAATTGGCTCATTTAAAATTTGAACTCTTACTTTTTCTATCCCTAGAGTGCTCTCCTTTACAAATATTTGTCCAGTAAGACGTGAGCCTTGTTATCACGATCATCACCATAACCGTCTCTTACAGTAACATAGAATTTGACATTTTATAAAGCACTTTCGTAATCATTTGTCGATTTGATTTAAACAGAAACTCTAAATGGTAGTTAGACAATTTATCCTTCAGGTGGGTCTGAATTCAGAGAGATAAATAGTGATCCCCGCTTAGATGGCTCCTACTGTGTGTCTGGCACTGTTTCAATGCTTTACATCCAATAGTTCCTTTAATTCCACAACAGCCTTATAAGATAGATAAAATTAGTGTCCCCATAGAGATGAGAAAAGATAGATACAGAGAAGTTAAGTTACTTAAAATCACACAGCTAATATGTAGCAGAGTCAGAATTAGACCCTAGGCAATTTGACTGTAGGATCCATGCTCTTAACCAGAGTTCTGTACTATCACTTCTGTAAACTGACAAGTGACATGTCACTTACAATATGTGATGATGACATCTAAATTTAAAACCTGCTCTATCATACCACGTTGACCTATGGTAATGGCAGAACTTTCTGGTTTCCCAAATTTAGTGTTTACAGTAAGTGAAACAAAGAGAATGGGAGCTCTCTGATAATGTTCAGATGACTGTATAAGGAAAGAAACTCTTACTCTTGGTTACAATTCTAAGAAAAATTTTCATTACACCATAACTTCTCTTTCTCCTAATATTCCTCTATCTAAGTGGCATATTATTCCCTGGAATTAGCAAGATCAATGAACTTTCTCAAGTTCCACTCCCAGATTCTTTCTGTATCCTAAGGAACACTATAGCTGCAGATATCATTACCTTCTCTACACTTCCTCAAAGGCAATATACTATTCCTGCCTTGTTTACCATTATATCTATCTCTGTGTGTTTCATACTGTCTCCAATACTGTTGCCAGTATGAATATTTATTAAATAAATGCATGAATATCTGCTTTTGGATTTTAAGTGACGTTACTAAGTTAAAGCATAAGTCATTGCTTTGAAAACAGAGCAAGAATGGATTTCTGGGAATAAGTCAAGCCTGGGGAAGGTTAAAGCTTCCTGGGGAGAGATGCACCATTTGTAGTTATGTAGTTGATAAATCAATAGGACAACCTGCTACTTTTGTGGGTCAAACCACTTGCTTGAAAACAAAAATAGAGAAGAATCATATCACTTCAATCTGACTGACAGGGTATGACGTTCATAGAAAACTCACATTGAGAAAATTGGACCAAGAATATGATTCCACTCCATCAAAAGCCAAAAAAAAACACCCACATAATTAATTCTAAAATATTTCAGGAAAAGCTTATTTGATACCAAAAGCTATTTTTAATGTGGCACAAAACATGCCTGATAATCCATACTATGTGAGAAGTTCTTCTGTGAGCAAAGGACACGCTGTAGCACTCCTACGTAGTGACACACTTACAGAGAAACAAATGTAAAGGGTCTTTGCTCTAAGGGAGCTCAAATCTAATGAATGGGTGATGAGTAAATCTTTCAGTAAAAATGTATTTTAGCGGTAGTGTCTATACGAGTTCTAGGCAATTTTTTATCAATTGAACTATAATATTTAAAAGTCAGTTACACTCTACATTTGACAAATTCTGCATTAATTGCACATTTAAGACTTTTTAGATTGAAGATGATGAATCTAAAATATTTCTACAGTAATTATTTAGCTAAGACATGTTATTCCTATTTGATACTGTTATATTGTCCTCCAGAAGCCCAGAGAACTTTATAGCTGGTATGTTGGTAATGCAACACGCCAATACTCCAATAAAATAAATTGATAGCAGATGCGTTCACTCTCATTTTTAGAGTTGGAATATACAGCCAAATTAGCCCTCGGTAAAAATAGGATTGTTAAAATATCTGAAATTTAATCCAATACTCGCATTTAACCACTGTTTGTGCTGTCCTGTTAATTTCTCTGAGGTGGTGGTAGCTATGACAACAAGGGGTAAAAAAATCGAATATATGCAGCTTTCAATTTATCTCTTCTTTTATATTGCATTATTTATAGTACCATATTTTAAAATACATGGGGCTTTCACAAGGTTCATTTTCCAACAGGGTGTGATTATCCTGAGGTTTCCCAGGCAGTTTCAGATTATTATCTTTCAAAATAATTTGGAGTACTAGAGTGTACCGTTTGCAGGTCAAAGGCACAAATATTTTAAATGGAATTTCTGAAAGAAAACAGTTGCTGTCTACTGATGAATTTGTATTATATAACCCCTTACGTTTAGTTATTGTTGTTCTGCTTTATAACAGGTGAATTTGGAGAGGTGTGCAGTGGTCGCTTAAAACTTCCTTCAAAAAAAGAGATTTCAGTGGCCATCAAGACCCTGAAAGTGGGCTACACAGAAAAGCAGAGGAGAGACTTCCTGGGAGAAGCAAGCATTATGGGACAGTTTGACCACCCCAATATCATTAGACTGGAAGGAGTTGTTACTAAAAGTAAGTATTCATAAGACCTGCATTTGTATACATTGAGCAAAGGTTGTTTTAACCCAACCCCAACCATTTAATAATTTTGACTTTTTTCATAAGTATCTCAGTTTTACCAAAATGATTACTTTATGAATCACATGCCTTTCTTTGACAATAAAGCCGACATTTATTTATTTATTTATTTATTTATTTATTTATTTTAGAGATGGGGTTTCACCATGTTGGCCAGGCTGGTCTCGAATGCCTGACTTCAGGTGATCCGCCCTCGGCCTCCCAAAGTAAAGTTGACATTTAAATAGTATTCTATTGACAGTACTATTTTAGATCTTAAAATGTTTTTTAAAAATATTAGAAGCTACACATTAGACAATTTAAAGGTATGATGATTAGCAGATGGTTAAAAAGAGAATTGCGGGGAACTCTCAGCTATGTAAGTAGCAAAGAAAAACACTGACTCAAGCTTGACAGGAACTCCCAGCTAGCTGCCTTTTCTTTTATTGTTCATCAGCTTCATTTAAGTTTCCAAATCTTTAGGCTCCTCCCACCCTCTGCATCCCTGCCTTCAGGAAAATTACAGGAGTCTAGGAAATGCTTCTGAGCTGTAAAGATAGGGATCACAATAGATTCAAGGCCATTTGTTGGTTCTTTGTGGGTTTCAAATAGTTCTGATCTAGGAGCCTGGGTGGATTCTTGACTGCTCTGGGGATGCCCTGGCTCCCAGCCCATGATAGAGATGTGAACTTATTTCCATGATGGTTTCTCCAGCAGAGCTCAGAAGGGATCCTGTGAGGCAGATCTGTGATTTTTGGCTCCAATCCCTATATAAGCCTCTGAGAATGCTCTGGGACTTTTTTCCTCAAGATTTTGTAGCACAGGATGAAGAATAAGCAAAATTGGCAGCAAACTCTTTAGAGTGAAAGACAACATATGGCAGGGAATTTGGCATCCTTTAGGGGATAATTCATTGGCAAGACATTTACATACTCTGTGGTTACCAACAGACATAGTTTTCACAATGATATTTCTCTTTAACATTATAGAGAGCATTTTCCAAATGGCACTAATACCTATTCTCACTTTAGTGTGATTAAAAACGCATTTCCTTCCTCATGAGAGCATGGTTTAATTGAAATAGACTTTGATTTCCTTTTGAGTTTTCATATATAAAAAATGGGATTAAGAATTTAACAATGTGGAATAGTTCAACCATATATTGTAACATTAATTCCTATAAGAAGTTTTATTTATTTTAATTTTGCCTATGTACTGTATAAAACTAGGTCACATTAATAAAAATATTTTCTGATAAATTTTTAAATTTTAAATTAATAAGTAATAAAAAACATGGGCATAAGTAGTAAGGATTGGGAAAATATATGAATCCTTTGTTCTTTCTTAGCAAGGTAATACTCTTTTATATGTGTATATGCAGTTATAGTATCATGTCTCATTGGGATTTTAATGTCATTTAGCCATTTAATGTTCTCCATTACATCTGCATCAAGTCGTTGCCTTTTAGCTCTTGAGCCTCCTGGGAAGAAAAAGCTCCCTTGCACTTATGCAGTCATCCTTCTGACTCTCCATTTTTACAAGTTTTTCATTAGGAAGTATCTGCTATGTGCCCACAATATACTATGATATTATTTCATTCTTAACACTACCTTGTGAGTTAGACATGATCATTTCTCATTGACATTTGAATAAACACTAACTGTAAAGGGGAATTAGCTTGTATAACTAGAAAGTGCTAGAGGTGGCATTGGGAACCTGTTCTTTTTATTTCACCTCTATCCCTAGCTCTGGACCAAAACAGGTTTCTACGTGTCTTTTCCTGTATTCTCCTTATTCTTTTGTATCCTTAGTTTAAAAATCTTCTCTAACGACATGACTATAGTGAGATATTCCTCAATCCTCAAACATTTCTGGAGTTATTAATGATTCTTAATATCTAAAACAAAATATAGACTCTCAAAGAGGGCAAGAATCCTTGTTATTTGATGATGAGTGGCTAAAGTAAATCCTGGATCATAATAGGTACTTAATTTACCAATGTTGAAAAATAAAAAAATTGATTGAGGAAGGAAAGAAGGAAGGAAGGAAAGGAGGAAGAGAGGAGGGAGGGACGAAACAACAATATCTTCTAACAGTAGCTCTTTCTTTAGTATTTGATTCATTAAATGGAATACACTTTTCAAAGGAGTGCATTTAAATAACTGCTTCTATCGCCCATGATGAAAATATGATTGTATTTAGTTTGAATAAAATCATACACTAACCTCTTTAACAGGTGTAATTAAGAAATAAATGAGCTAAAAGTCACTATCAAACAAATATTAAGTTTTAGTTTAAGTTCACTAATAATCTCTGTTATTTTGTCAGTCATGAGTTGATTTTTTGTTTTCAGTCTTATGAATTACTGAAAGTTACTCATTATATCTTCCTGTTTCCTGTAAATGCATTTACTGAATGATAAGCAACATTAAAATATAAATATTGTGCCAAATTTTGTTTAGATATAAAACTAAAACAATTAAATATAGAATATGGTAACCTGACAACAAAATTTATGAAACAATCTCTAAGACAAAAAATGTAGAAGAAAACACTAAGATGACCTTTAAAAATTGCAGGTATTATATATTAAACATCTTATTCAAGCCTGACTCTGTAACATTCTAATATGGATTACAACTCCCTTATTCTTAGAGTGAGAGTTCTAAATTTGATATATCTCCCTGGTCAAATAAGCATGCAAGAGGCTGCCAAATCTGACTGTATAAATCCCAGTCATCTCATATATTGTAAACATAATAGAGTAGTAGCCCTAGAATTAGGTTTTGAACTCCTTGGTGGCATATTTATAAGCTCTAAGTCTGGCACCCTATAACATCTGAAAGGAAATCGAAACTCCTTACAGTAAAGTTGATATGTTGTATTTAACACACACACATACACACACACACACACACACACACACACACACACACACAGCAATTTTGTCTCCAAAAGCAGCTATTCTACTGCTATTGTCCTCTTTGTTACTTGAGACTTCTAAAACAATCTACCTACAGAGTTCAGAAATCACATCTATACACGCATACACACACACACACACACACACACACACGAGTGATACAGAGCTTATAATTTAATGAACAAAATAGTATTTTTAACAGCAGACATATCAATATCTAGATTAAGAATCAGTGATCTCAGTTCAAGTTCTGAAACAACCTTACTGCTCTGAGAACTGCAAATCACACAATTCACAGATATTCATTTCTTCACTTGTAACAGGAGATTAAAAAGTACTACTTTAATATTTTCAGATACCGAAGATCAAATGAGATTACATAAGAATATATTAAGTGGCAAAGAATTGTGCAGTTCTAAATTACTCCTCTGGTTGTTTGAGATTGTACCAGTCAATTTGGATGTATAGAAAAGAAATTCTTGAAAATAATTCTTATATTGCTCAAAGATAATTTTGTTTATTATTGTTATTCAGTTGTGCGCTTTGAAACACTAGGTCTAATAGAGTGTATCACTTTCAAATCATTTGAAGAAAGCTTTTTTTCCAGTCATTATATTTTCATTTATTTGAATTTAACCACAAGCAATTTTAATGTTGCATTTTGAGCCTGATGGTCTTAAATAGGAGAAGGTGAGAGAATCTCTGATCTTCAAAGTAGCAGAAAGCTGGGGGCACAGGCTGTACCCAGAATGAGGTACTAACATGTGTTATCAATTTTAGCTGAAGTTCAAAAGGATGGAACTTGTTTTTAGCAAATGTTTGATATTTCTGCCATCACACCATTAGTCAAATAATTTTCAGACGCCAAGAACACCTTCCCATTGGCCACTTTTCACCTAGTGAAATAGAAGGAATTATGTTGGATGAGATTAATGTATTTTGACTTCAAGTATTTTCAAGAAATTTAAAAAAATTATGATGCAACTTAACCGTAGCTTTGCATTATTGAGGAATGTCATGAGCAGAATATTAAGATGATTTTTGTCATTAAAACGTATCTGTATTGTTGAGAATATCCACTTTCACCAAAAGCTTAGCCATTGGCTTTCACTTGCCTCATCTCCTGTAGGTATGGTAAGGACGCACATCTGGAGAAAGAGGTCATCATTTAGAAACAATGCCAAATTCTAGTTATTTTCTGTTTGCTTCTCTCTCAAAATATTCTGCATTTATCTCAAGGGTACTACACTTTATGTAATCTTAAAAGACAATACATTACGTTGTACTTATTTTACTAGTAATTTACAGAAATAGTTTGTTAAGATGACAGATTTGGAAAACTCTAATGATCCAAGTGTTATCATGAATTTATGACTGCAAATTGTTAAATGATTTCAGAACATGTCTGTCAAAGTAACCACATGAACACAATTATAAAAATCACTGCTCAATGTATTACCAAAAATAAGATGGGAAATGTTATTTTTATGTGTTTAAACAGCTTTTGTTGTTTCTTCTTCACTGTCCACTATGTGCCTTGGATGAATTGTCCGTTTTGACTCATAAAAAATGTGGCATTAGGCATTTATGTGGATAGGACGGGGTTTTCTGAAATGTTTGAAAAATTAAGATTAACCTACAAATTTTTTTTAGAGCATGACTGGCATGTGCCCAAAGACAGCTTTTATACAGCAATAGTTTAAATATACAGTAAATCTCCTAAAGAAAGAAAAAATATGATGATACACTAGTTTAGTAGCTGTCTGAGTAATTGTGGTCTTACACAACCTTTGTAGAAAGGGTGGAGAATTATCACCTCTAAATCCTGAGGCTAGGAATATCTTGATACCAAACTATACAACTCTTATCAAAAAGTATAACAACAGATTAATTTTTTTTTTTTTTTTTTTTTTTTTTGAGATGGAGTTTCGCTCTTGTTACCCAGGCTGGAGTGCAATGGCGTGATCTCGGCTCACCGCAACCTCCGCCTCCTGGGTTTGGGCAATTCTCCTGCCTCAGCCTCCTGAGTAGC